GACATTCGAGTACAACGCATAATACTAGGCTCCTCCAAACTGCACTCGACCAACTGGAAGAATGGTTCAGGTTATGAAGGATCGAAGTTAATCCTAACAAGAGGGTTGCTGTCCTATTCACCAGACGTAAGCTATCCACCCCCTAGAAAACTTGGAAGCCAACAATCAAGTCATTGGGAGTTCTCGATCGAGGGCTGCGTTTCAAGGAGCACATTGACCAAGTAGTTATTAAGGCATATGGAATTGAAAAACTTGCGACTTACATAATTTCCAGAGACAAAAAAAATACCCAGAAATTTTTTACAAAAATTGACGCAAAAATAAAACAAAAAACTCTTGAGATTCTGAAGAAGTCTTCCGCACGTATGTTCAAACTTGGGGTTTCATTATCCATAAACGTTTTCACCGATCAATATGATTACCGAATTTACCGGTAATTTCTTAAGAACATGAAATTTACAAAAAATATCAACATGAAATTAGTATTACAATAATATCTACATTACTATTGATCAAAATGGCTGTTAGAAGCTTTGGGTGAAACTGATACAACACTAAATTCTTATATTAACCATGAATTTTTGATTGACGGATTGTCTGCATAAAATACTAATTTAAGTAGAGAATTAAAATCAAAATTAATTTTATGTATTTAAGAGCGAACACAAATTTCGTTACCACAATGTTTGCACAATCCTTCAGATCTTAAGAATATGCACAAGAGGACGATTAATGTGTTAACACTTTTATCAAAATTTAATAGGATTCTGCTAATTACTACTTAGCACATACCCCAGCTTATATAAGTGGTGATACTATCACATGAAATTTCTACACACATAAGTTCGGTACATCAAAGAGTACATCGTTTTGTAGTATTATATGGTAGTGTCTTTCAATTGTTGAATGTAAATTTAACTACATATTTGTACTAAACCTCCACTCAAAAGTGAGGAGTACTTTGCAGTTGCGTTAAATTAAGTTACTGTGGAACCGATGAGAATTTAGAAAATTTTACTACTAACAAAAGTGGGCCAAAGTTAATATTAATGAATATTTGCAATCAATCCTTTTTGCTGATCTAATTGCTTGAAGTTGGACGTAAGTCGGTTTCAAAGCGAACAAAACTAAAAACTATTTAAACAATAGAAACCGAAAGAAAATTGATAATCCACGCTCAACAAAAAACCTACAATACTCACAAATGAAAATCACCTACTACATATCAAAAACACAAGGAACCCAATTCCAAGTAGGAATGGATTAATACAACTCAATTTATTGAGACTAATGGAACTATACCTCAACATTAGGTAACTTTATGGTCATCATCAACCTGCTGGTCTAACCGAAAAACGCTACCATACATATTCGCTTGAAAGTGAAAAGACGAAATCAAAAAGCCTTCCGGTCATACATCACCGAAGAAATTGTTTTAAATGCACAGAAAATTGAAAAATTTATATAACTATAATATCGAAACTAGCATAAACATGATAATAAATTATGTATCAGAACAAGAATTTGCGTTCCTCAGATATTTGAAAAAGTTCCGCATATTGGAAAGAGTTAACAGCAAACAAATAAAATGTATTTATAAATATCATGCTGTGTATGTAATATTTGCCTGCAGCATTAAATATTGGGTAAGCACAATCCTCTATAATTTAGTAAATCAATGTATAATAATTTATTTTACTTGCAATAATCAGCAATTACCAAAACTATTGTCTAAAGTTGGTATAGCTATCACCGAAACAACACAACAGACAATGAAATAAAATTTACAGTAATCACTAACATCACCAATATAACAAAAATCTATTATAAAATAAATCGATGTGTAAAAGACAGAAATCATAGAAATGAGAAGTATTTAACACTGGCTTACAAGCAGTGAAAAGGAAAGATTTACAAATGGACCTTAAACGCAACATTGTCTGAAAATAATACAAATGTAAATAATGTTCACGATCAAACTTAAATAAAAAATAATTAAAATTAGTATATCGTCTTCGCCGAAGTCTCGACGATTCTTAACGACGAGATCCCGGTTCGCAACCACATCTTTTGTTTAAATATATAAGTAACAAACAATTCAACAGATTTCTTGTCGCAATCAAGTAAATTAAAGCTCTTCGTAATTATGAGAAATATTTTGTAAAGAAAGATAATGTTGCAAGTAATGATGTTAATTTATAGGATCGGATGATCCTTCGAAAGCTGTAAATTGGTGTCTCAGCTGTTTGTTTAGTGTTGTCTTCTTTTTGTTTTGTAACTTGTCGTATAAAGAAGTTGTGTATCTTACGTGTTGCGGACGGTTTTATTTACTTTTCAATTGTAATTGGTGGTTTCTCGACATTTTTATTGCTTCTTATGTTAGTATTTGAAATTCGTTTATGTTGGTTATTAGGTATGAAGAATTCGAATCGAAATTAAGAGTTTATTTGTTTTATCTTTAATTGTAAATGACTAGTTGTTCCAGTTTGAGATCATGTTCTTTCTTTATATTTATAGTTCTGATTGCAGAGGCAAATTACATGTTGCTCGTGAGGCTGGACAATTGTTTCCACTTCCTTTATATCATTTATTTCCAGAATTGTTGCATGATTTGTTGAATACTTTTCTTTCCGTTTTGTTTTAAAAGATCCGGTTATTTATAATTTGTGTTGTTTCTTCTACGTTTTCATTTCTAATGATTTTTTGTTTCTATGCTTCAGTACGTCGTATGTTTGTTCTATATTTGTGTTTTGTACTTGATTTATTTTTTTTAATGGTGTTCCATATTTATTTGAAATGCTTTGTGTGTAGTTGCATGTGGTACTACTGTTCGTATATAGTTCCACATTAGATTTTTGTTTTAATTTTCTTTCTCGTCATCATTTGTTTAATTTTATTTTTCGATGTATGCTCTTTTTTAAATGATTTTTCGACTCTCCTTCAAGTAAAGTTAGCTATTTGTTGCTTATTAGTTTCAATTCTCTAGAAATCTCCTTTTATTAGTTATCTTATTTTCTTTTTTCTCCTCATAGTTCCATAATATTGTGGTTCTTTTTTTATTGTTTCAATAAATATCTAAGAATTTATCGTTTTTTATTTAATATGTAATATTCGTAAAATTTATGGATATTTTTCATTTCTTTGTTGTATAAATATCTATTATTTTTATTTTGATATCTTCTTTTCATGTATATCTTTGATCTTTGTTTTTTTTAAATCTAGTCTCCTGTTATTTTCTTTGATTCGTCTATATTTTTCATGTCCCCTTTGGTTCATTTTAGTTGGGAGTGAAATATAGCGTGTTATTTCATCTTCTCGATGTAAATTTTCCAACTTTAGGAAATATCAATAATTTCTGTTTCAATGTTGTATGGTTTTCATCAACATAAATAACACAGATATGTGAATGTCTTGGGATTTTTTACGATTTTAAATCTACCACGTTTTTGAGGATAACATTCTTTGTTCGAACCGTTCTTGAGAAAACACTGTTAATTTCCGTTTCCATGTAGTATATAGTTCCACGTTACATTTTTGTTTTAATTTTCTTTCTCGTCATCATTTGTTTAATTTTATTTTTCGATGTATGCTCTATTTTGAAATCATTTTTCGACTCTCCTTCAAGTAAAGTTAACTATTTGTTGCTTATTAGTTTCAATTCTCTAGAAATCTCCTTTTCTTTATTCTCTTCATAGCTCCATACTATTGTGGTTCTTTTTTATTGTTTTAATAAATATCTAAGAATTTCTCTCGTTTTTTATTTAATATTCGTAGGATTTATGGATTTTTTTTCATTTCTTTGTTGTATAAATATCTATTATTTTTATTTTGCTATCTTCTTTTCATGTATATCCTTGATCTTTGTCTTTTTTTAAATCTAGTCTCCTGTTATTTTCTTTGATTCGTCTATATTTTTCATGTCCCCTTTGGTTCTTTTTAGTTCGGAGTGAAATATAACGTTTTGTTTCATCTTCTCGATGTAAATTTTCCATCTTTAGGAAATATCAATAATTTCTGTTTCAATGTTGTATGGTTTTCATCAACATAAATAACCCGGATATATGAATGTCTTGGGATTTCGAACCGTTCTTGAGAAAACACTGTTAATTTCCGTTTCCGTGTAGCATGGTTTAATCGTTTTCATCGTCATAGCCAATCCGGAAATGTGGATGCCGTGGAATTTCATCGATTGTAAATCGACCACGTTTTTATTTTTGAGGTTAAGATTGTTTGTTCAAGAAATTTTAACGTCTTAAGAATATATTGTTAATTTCCGTTTCCGTGTAGCATGGTTTACTCGTTTTCATTATCATAACCAATCCGGATATGTGGATGCCGTGGAATTTTATCGATTTTAAATCGACCACGTTTTCATTTTTGAGGTTAGGATTATTTGTTCCTGGAAAAATGTGTCCTATGCCTTTCACGTTCTTTTCTGGGTTTCTTCCTATTAGCATCATCGCCAATCTTTTGTTGTCTTGTTGGATGTTATAATTAATAAGACTTGATAACGCTAAATTGTAATAACTGTAATGTGTTACACTACTTGACACTTCAACTTCTTGATTCGTTCTGACTCCGGCTCCTCGTCGTTATTTCTATGCTTGTTTTTTTGTAAGTAAATGTGGTTGCATACATAGACATTTGAACCGCTGAAATTAACCCGCGAATTTACAAAATAGAAGAAAACTAATTATGTGATTGCTTGTTTATAAGCTCTTTTCGTTTGTTTCTATGTGTTTATTTACAGTTTTATGCCTAGCCATACACCGTAAGGTGTGATCTAAGTTGCTCAGCTCCACTCTATTATAAAGTGGAGGAATCAGAACAGAACTAATTATCCACTCTATTATAAAGTGGAGGAATCAGAACAGAACTAATTATGTGATCAGTTTTCATCTTTCAAGTACAAAACAAATGAAACTAATAAATACGACCACAAGATGCATTTGATAAAACGGTCAATATATTTTATATAAGAATTCAATTATTTGCTTCGAATAAAATTATAAAAAATATCTGTGTTGTACGGTATTTATTTGACTCATCTCAGCATAACATGTTTTAGATAGCTTCGTTATAGACAATCTTAGTACATTTCACTACAAATATTGCAGCAGCATCAAAACGGGAAACACCATCTTCATTGTAGCACACGACCATCCAAATACGATCATAAGACGAGAAGCTACTAGAGAAGTTCTGCTCGTAGGACATTAATGCATTCGACAACGTCGACATGAGCAGACTCCGCATTATTCTACAATCTGCAAGGCTTCCGACTCATATCCTCAACATAATCATGAGGCTGATAGGAGAAAGGAGAGTCCAATAATTGACTCGTACAAGGTCTAGAAGTGCAATTTTCTGCCTATTAACATTCAACTTTTAGAATTGCTATCTGGTAGAAACCCTTCTGGAGCGTGTGAAACTGCTCGGATACGCTACCCATCTCGCTTATTGAGTATCCGACTACAACCTACAAAAATTGGACATCCAGATGAATTAAGCACTAAATAATATAAAACCACTACCTATGCCATAGAAACCTGCATAGCATCCTGTACAAAACAAAAGTCATGCTTAACACAAGAATATGTGCTCCACGTTAACCAGTTTTAACTGTGGGAGATACAATCATTGAGTTGGTGAACCCCTATACATTCCTGGGATTGTGATTTGCTAGACCATCGTGGACCTGTAAGTGAAAAAATATAATAATATTGGAAGAAAATAAGGAGAATAATGATAACTCACAAAATCTATATAATCCTTCTCTAATACAAATTGATGGCTCAAAGAAAACTGGAAAATATCCTCAGAAATATAATAACAGAACTCTTTGCAATACATTGCACCGTATGTACTATACAGCAACTGGCCCACTATCTGCACAAACTCCGAACTTTCTAGCACACCAACGCAGGCCAATGTATATGTGGAGCCAGTGGAGACATGAATCACTGCACATGTGAATGCTCACTTCAAGCAGAGAAATTTCCTAAAAAGTCAAAGAACTTATTAAATGTGAATACTCACTACCAACAAACCTACACACTGATGGCAATGTGTGATGATCATATGTGAAGATCCAAGTTCAATCAAATATGCCATATACATCACAATATGAGAACTGGAAAATATCCTCAGAAATATAATAGCACAACTCTTTGCAATACATTGCACCGTATGTACTATACAGCAACTGGTGCACTCAAAGTCCGAACTTTCTAGCAAAACAACTCAGGCCAATGTATATGTGGAGACATGAATCACTGGACATGTGAATGCTCACTTCAAGCAGAGAAATTTCCTAAAAAGTCAAAGAACTTATTAAATGTGAATACTTACTACCAACAAACGTACACACTGATGGCAATGTGTGATGATCAGATGTGAAGCAGCTTATTGAAATACAAGGAAAATAATTGCATCAATATAGACATTTTCTCCCTATTTGTGCATGATAATCTTAGATCTGTACTATCAGATTGACAAACGTTAAGTAACAATACACCAAGGGAAACATCACAAAATGACTAATATTATGCATTATATCATTTCATGACTTATTGAATTATTATTGAAGATAAGCATCTCATCTGAATAGTACATATTTCAATATTTTATTTACTTAACCTCAAGATTTGTTTACATCCCAACCTTCTCATTTACAGTCTTGGTAATAAGCGCTCAGATAAACCTCATATGAATATGCTTTAGTCTTGTCCTAGTGGTAACCATGTAACCATACTCCAAACACAAAATTAATCGGGTAGAAAAATGTTCGTCTTTTAAACATCCACTCCCTTCACTTAGCTTGTATCAAGCACAATTTCGCCAGATACCGCCTCGTGACATAAAGACGATGATTAGTGCAGTTGGACTGCCGAAAGTATGCGAAAGATGATGGTGTGTTTGTAGGTTAGAAAAAAAGTTGTCTGTGACGTTGATCACTCTGATGCTCATGTGTCATCGAATTCAAAGTTCATCCGCACGTCTTTCCGTGGCGCCACATGTATTGTCGCCAAATAATATAAATTTTGATATTTTCATATAAAATTTCAAACAAGTTTTACTATTATTCACATATTAATCTTTATAAAACCTTAAATTAATCTATGTGTTTTGAAGTTATATTAATAAATAAATGTTTTTTTTTAATATTTTGTTTTATTTATAAGATTCATTTGCAAATATTTAGCTTGCTTGTTATTCTTATAATTGTGGATTATTAGTTGCAAAATTTCGTGACCTAGTTATACTTTTTTGGGAAAACGTATTTCTCTGTACGAGTAAAAATCCGGAAATTTTGGAACGCATTAAACTTGTTAAGCGAGGTTTCACTGTACATGTTAATTATATTGATGTTACTACGACTCCCTTAAAAATATTTAAAATATGAAATAGATAAAACTTTTGTCGTGTCACGGGAGTCTTAGAGTAAGTGGAGTCTTAGAGTAAATAAAACAACTTTTTTTCGTAGCATTTTTTTTTATTTATTTACAAAACAATAATTAATATGTATTTTTACTAGTAACAAAATGACTTTCATCGGCTGCTCACTCCTTTATTCCTTCTAACCCCTTGGTACTGACGAAGGAGAGCGTCGAAATCTGTTTCAACGACCTTTTGCTTTTGAGGATCACTGTTATCAAACTGACGATCCCGCTGATCATTTTGACGAGATCTTTGACCAATTTGAGAATCCCTGTGATCCATTTGTTCTTTGTTCTCCGAACTACTCTGACTTCTCTTCGATGCATCACTCCTATCTCTGGATACGTCCTGACGCTTCCTGAAGCTCTTCGTGAGCACTTTCGTACTGGACGTTGAATTGCCATAAATTGACTTTAGGCATTCAGGAAGCTCGGGTTTTACCTTCAGCGGTCTCGGTTTCGATTCAATCTGAGCAAGCATCGAAAATCTCGGACGCAACACTTTCGGATAAATCCCGTTGGAACCGGAAGAAGCGCTCTGAATCGGCACTTTCGACTGTATCAATGATTCTCTGGGTTTTGGCGGGTTAAGATTCTCGTATATACCCTGCATCAGCATTTCCTTTATTTCCGCACGCGTCTGTGGTGGCAGTGGTGGTGGAATCGTAGATTTACAATAAAATTTGGAACTTTATTCATCTCAAAAATTGATATTTAATATCAATCTTTAAATAAACGTATTTTTCATACAATGTTAAACTAATTAGTATAATTATGATTAATTAATTAATTATACACAATTGTCTAAAGCATTAAATTAATAAATAATGTTTAGCAACTAGTTTTCCGAAGATTTTCAAAAATTATTCCAACTTTTACTCATCTCAAAAGTTGTTAAATTATGAAATAATAATAAAATTATTTAAAAAACCTATTTTTTGTTACAATGTTAAATTATTTAGTAAAGTGTGATTAAACAATTTACTCATTTATAAAATTTGCTTTATAAAATAAAAATTTAAATAATTTAAACAAAAAATAAAAGCTAAAATGTGCCTATAATTATTATTATTATAAAGAAATAATTTTAATTTCTTCAAGCAATAATAATTAATTTACTTTTTTTAATAATTTGTGCATAAAAACATAACTTTAGTACTTTTCCACTGAAAACAATTAAACTTTCCGAAAAATTACGTACAAAAACGGTTATTTTATTGTATTGTTTAAAACAATCATAAAAAAGTAACTTATTTTGTTAAAGAAATTAAATGATTAGAAAAAAAAGTTTTACTTTGAAATCAGAGTAAAACAATTGTTTATTTATTGCATCTGCAATAATATAATACATTTGTTGTAACTAATTTCAGCATGATTTTTATCAAAATGTTTCAGCAAAAAAAACGAAAATAATATGAATATATGAAAAAACAAATATACTTATGATTGTTTAAAACAATCAAAACCATATATAAAACAAGAGCAAAATAATATTAAAATTATTAACTAAATATTGCAAATTTACACCAAAAAATTAAAATATTTTAGCCAAAATCGTAAACTTCTAATTACATAAAAAAAACATTCTCAACATTGGTGTTCACAAAAACAATCATAAATTAAAAAAAAATCATTGAAAATATGTTTTTAATTACTATTTTTTCTCTGAACAAACTGTTCATACTTTCTTAATTATAAACGATAACAGTAGTAAAAATGTCATTAAAATGATTTAATATTACTAAAACTACTTGCTAAATCCACAAAGTAAACTTATTAATCCTCGCAGTTACAGCAAAACGCGAATTAATCGAAAATGGTGCAAAAAGAAACAAGAACAATATTGTTATTAAAAGTTTAAATAATTAAAAACTACAACAATTTTACTGTTTTTTCGCATAAGGTAAAAAAGGGTCACTGCAATAAAAACTGATTGTAGAAAGTTACGCAGTATAAATTCGCAAATATTTTCTGGTAAATTGTTGGTTTATTTATCACAATAAACAAATTTTCAAAGAATATCCTTTATCCTGTTTCCAGACATCAAAAAAGCAATACCAATGCTTATGATGTTGACTACATGCAATTTTGCTACATGGTACTACTGGTACTACTACTTTCTAACACTGCAGGTAAATAAAAAATAATAATTAACATCTTCCGTATTCAATTATAATACAAAATAATACTCAGAATTAAACAATAATTATATACAAAAGTAGTTTCTTAATTATTGTCTATTCTTAATACTTGCTAAATCCACAAAGTGAACTTATTAATCCGCGTTACAGAAAAACGCAAAATAACCAAAAAAATAGCAACAAATCTAAAATTATAAATAATTAAAATAATGTACCATTTTTTCATTAGAAATTATTTCATTAATGAGTTTTCAAAACCGATAGTCTATAACCCTTTGTGTCAGTTAATTATTTACTAATAGAAATACGTTTAATAATTATTTAAATTTCAACTAAAATTAAACTTTAATTATATAATGCTTGTCGAATCGCCAGGATTGCTCCCCGAGTGAGGCGTTTGGAGAAGCCATTGAATATAGTACAATGAATCAGTTAAAGGTGTGAAATAAAATACTTGTCGAATCGTCAGGATTACTCTCCGAATGAGGCGTTTGGAGAAATATTTAAATTTCAACTAAAATTAAACTTTAATTATATAATGCTTGTCGAATCGCCAGGATTGCTCCCCGAGTGAGGCGTTTGGAGAAGCCATTATTACAAATAACCACTAACAATAGTTAATAAACTAATCCTTCTGCAATCTCAGAGCTAGTGATA